TATATATATATATATATATATATATATATATATACAGTTAAATAAAAAATTAAATTATGTATATTCATTTTATATATATTTTTAGTTAATTGTGTATATTAATTACATAAAATATATTTAAATAAATAATTAGTGTAATAGGCTAATACAATTTACAGGGTAGATTTGAGATGCACAAATTCACCTGACCTTCTCACAGAAAACTAGTTTGTCCCTACTAGGTCTTAAAACAAGCGTCTTGCATTGAATTTCTTCTAGAGATGAGCAGTCTTTCGTTCTCAGGTCCAGATTCGCCCGTGGAACCTGAGTGACAGTGATTTCGTGATGGATGGCTCTCAGCCTCTTGACCCACGCAAGACCATTTTTGTGGGAGGCGTTCCACGACCTCTACGAGCAGGTGAATTTCTCATACAGTATCTCAGACTTTTGTTGTCCTCCCAAATATGTCATTAATGTAATCATATTCTGTATAATGCCGTGATCCTCCTCTGTGTGTGTTTAGTGGAGCTGGCTATGATCATGGACAGACTGTATGGAGGTGTGTGTTACGCCGGCATTGACACTGATCCAGAACTCAAATACCCTAAAGGTGCGGGCCGAGTGGCCTTCTCCACTCAGCAGAGCTACATCGCTGCCATCAGTGCCCGATTCGTCCAGCTGCAGCATAATGACATTGACAAACGGGTGAGTGAGCTCATGTAAGGACGAACTCTCAGATGTCTGTCATTACACACAATGCAGAGACAGCGTCTTTTCGCTTTTCATGAATCCATCAGGGATGGATTCGTTTAATAATCCTTCAGGGTTATTAAACTAAAACCATTAAAAAATACAAAATAAAACATTTGCGTTACTTGAAATAAAGTAAAAAAAAAAATTTGTATTATTCTTTATTGTTAACTGATTTTTTTTAGCTAATTGCCAAAGCAACATTTCTAATTTTCATTTCGTTTAGGTTCATGTACTAAAATAACTAAAACTGAAATAAAAATGAATAAAAACTATATAGATATTTAAAAAAAACAATAATACAAATTAAAAACACAATAAAATTACTAAAACTTCAACTAAAATTACAATGAAAACAAATTCAAAATATTGATTAAACACTATAATAGTATCTCAATAATATTAAAAGAACACTGCTCCTAATGCACTGAACTTTATAAAATGAATCATTAAGCTACAGCGATACCATCGGCGACACTTTATAATGTGACATTTTACTTGAAACTACTTGAACTTGCCATTTGACCTTTCGAAACGCAGCCAGAGTTTACCAGACAGTTTGCATGAGATGCACTGAAGAACAGTTGTGTCAGACTCTTTACAAACTGGAAGTCTGCTTAATCACGGGCCATTTTAAAAATTTGCAGAATGCTATAAATGCTGTATTGACTAGACGAGTCCCAGAAGAGGTTTATACTGTACTTTTATAACAGTAATTCTAGATGTGATTGCATAGTGGCAGTTACTGTACCGTGGTTTTCCTGCAGGCTGTTTCCATACGGCCAACAATACAGCCTGTGGAAACCCCAGAGCAGACTGTGTGTAATCAACATGACCATGAGCTTCTGGAGGCCTGACAACCATTTGAAGTCTCAGACGTGGCGTTTGTTAATTATAGCTCGATGCTATTCCTGTGCACATATGTACACACTGGACTTACTGGACTGTTTTGGGAATGTTATTTAGAAGTAAATAGCTGATGGTCACTGGACTAAAACTAGATGCTCTGTTTG